GCTCGGTGCCAAAACGCTGAAGAAAAACACTTTGGCAAAATTTACCAACTTAATGGAAAAAGCAAAAGCAGCTTCCAAATGGCAGCCGTGTGAGTGATGGGGCTGTTAATTATCCCAAGATTTTTAAGGCAGGCTCTTTTTCCGTTACAGCTCGGCAGCGGCGGGGCTGCACGAGCAGCTTCAGCAGCAAGAGTAAAGAAGATTTTTCTCCTTATATAGAGCTATCAAACCCACCTTGCCTTTATCTCAGCTTCTTGCCATGAGCAGCCATTTCCACTGAGACTCTATCAAGAGGTACCACTGAAGGTGTTTGTGGGTACCACAATGAGGTTCTTGGGGCTGTTCAGCCTAGAGAAGGCTGCAAAGAGAACTTGGAGAACTTTTCAGTGCCTAAAGGGGCTCCAGGAGAGATRGAGGGGGAGTTGGGAGAAGGGAATGGAGGGACAGCACAAAGAGGAATGGTTTTTAAAGAGAAGAAGAAAAGATTTAGGTTGGATATTGGGCAGGAATTGTTCCCTGGGAGGGAGGGRAGGMCCTGGCACAGGGTGCCCAGAGAAGCTGTGGCTGCCCCTGGATCCCTGGCAGTRCCCAAGGCCAGGCTGGATGGGGCTTGCAGCAGCCTGGGACAGTGGAAGGYGTCTCTGCCATGGCAGGGAGTGGAATGGGATGAACTTTTAGGTCCTTCCAACCCAAACCACCGCTGCAGTCTCTGGGTGAAGAAGCGCCCCATAGCACACACGATGTCAGCTCACATGAGCCCTGAAAGTTTCCAGTGCAGACAYGAACTCCCTTTATAGCAAACTGAAAATACTGACTGCAGCTTAATTTTACTTGCCTGCTTTTGGCAAACTCCTGTGGATCAGTCCACGGGAATTGACCAGTGCCAAAAGTCCAAGGTAAAATAAAACTGAGAGGGACAGAGAGGCACAAAAACCTTTATTGCCCTTGTTCCTTTCTAACCAGACAAGAGCTGGAATAAAGCCCTACACTGAACTCAGGACAGCAGCAACACAACAGCCTTCAAGGTAGATGTGGTCACAAATTATTTGCAAGCAAGTGCCAATCTGACAAAGCTGAGGCAACCTGTAAAATAATTGTGATCAACTAATTCTCCACTATTTCTGGAATTGGTTTGGACCAATTTCAGCTTCTTTAAATTAAAAGGTTTGCCCTGCCTTAAAAGAAGAAGTCCAAATGATTTTGACATCTTGTTTGCTTAGATGATGGGTTGAAGCCGAAGGAAATGTTTCAAGGGCCCACAGCAGCATTTAATTTTTTATTTTGTTTTCTCCCTCATTTACGGTGGGGAAATGGCTTTGAAATTGCAAACATTACTGCAAGGTGGAAAAACAATTCCCCACCACTTTTCTCCATTCAGGTGTATTTTCTTTCCTGTTGAAAAGACCACAAAGCCAGCTGGAGGCTGAAAATTGCTTTTCAAGAAAAGCAAATCTGCATTTCTAGCTGTACATCAGACAGTATATCTTAAAAAGGAGAAAATGTATGTGTGGTGTAAGATCCTTTGCACACGACTGGAGGTGATATTTTATAAGACTCCCAAGCAGTTTTGACAGACAACAGGAAGCAAATCTCAACCTATAAACTGAGGCTTTAAATTGCACCATGCATCGATTCCATTCCAGCTTTTTGGGGTAGAAATCTCATTTTGTACCAGCAACCTCCTCTGTGGAGCAGAATTCTGCTCTCTTTTTGGGGCTTCTGGAAATGATGGTATTTCTCCACTCCCCCTCAGTTTCTGGCAAGAGCAATGGAAACACACAACTGTGGAGATGTCCCTGTCCTGACCCTGCTTAGTTCTTTACAGGACCTTTCCTGCAGCATAAATGAGGTATTAGCTTACACCTCCAGGCAAAGATTTTGTACACAGGCACTGCTGCAAACCCCAATGTGGTAAGGGCAGAGTTTTTGAAACAACTGAAATACTGTCAGTGTTTAATCTCCATATTTTGAAGGAAGGGATTGAGCAGACAAATAGATATGGCCAATATAAATCCATTCTTAAGGTAATTAAAAAATACTGAGAAAACAGAGTGATCTACAAAATGTTAATATTAAATAAGGGGGAATGAAATCTCCRTCCCTGGAAGTGTTCAAGGCCAGGRTGGATGGGGCTTGGATCAACCTGGTCTAGKGGATTTTTCTAGMAGAAAAATCTTCTTTACCCTATGGATCCAGGAGAGTTGGATCCCTAAAGGTTGGATATTTGCTCCTCTGGCAACTGTGGCTCCTCTTAGGACTCCTCCAGGAGGGCCATGGAGCCCTGCAGGGCACAGGAGGTGGGGATGAAGCACCAGCAGGGCCAGGGTGAAATCCTGCAGACACCTCACACCCTGTTCTCTCAGGGCTTTAGGCTGAAGGGTTCCAAACTGCTGCTCCTCATGCTCTGATTGGARCTGAACCTGTGGATTCACTGCACAAAGCTGTCCCAGAGCTCCTGCTGGTGACAGCCTGCTTCCTCACCTGGGAGATGCCATCTGATACAGCTCCAACCCTCCCAGACAGCTCCCAGCAGCTCTCACAGCYGGGGATCCTTCCTGGCACCCCATTCCTCTGCTCCCCATCCCTGTCTGGGGATTGATTTTGCTGCTGGGTGAAGTAACAACACTCAGTGCTGGCCCTGGCCTTTGTGTTGTGCAGTAACTGGAGCCCTCACAAACAGAAGTGCTAAGCGTGATCTGTCATCTAACTCCTTTTTTGTCCTTCCAACAGGCGCCTTTGCATTCCTTCATTTTGTGAATGGGGTTTGGCAGGGCCCTACAGAATTCCCCATTGTTTCCATTTGCACTTCAGTGAGCGTCCATCATTTCTACTTGTGCCCCAACAAATTGGCAAAGAAAGGGAAAGGAGGAAAAAAAAAACAACCCACAAACTCTGTGTCTGTCCCCGGGCAGAGATTTCCCCTCACCACAAACCTGGGCAGCCCTCAGTCAGTAAGTGAGTGATGAACAGAGATCAAGCAGGGCAGATTTTAACCCCACAACCCATTGCAGAAAGGGGAWGAAGCTGGAGCTTTATTTTAATAAAGGACATGCTCAGAGAGACACATTGAAGCAGGAGAAGGTGGACCTCAAACTGGACCTGGGCTGTGACACTGTTCATCCCTCCTGGGACACATCTCCAGGTGCAATTCCCTCCTCTCTACCCTCAGGCACCCAGCACACACACATCATTGCCAGCCTTCTGCTAGATTTGTCCAGGAGTGCCATAATTTGTCCCCAAACCACTCACCCAGCTTGCAAGCAATCCTCTTTTCCTCTTAAAATAGGATTCCTCTTAAACTGGCTCCTCCCTCCAGCCCTTCTGGGCCTTCCCAGGGGCTGACCCACCTCGATGGTGCTGGGTGGATGCTGTGGTAGCACACCTGCAGCTCTCTCATCCAGCACCCAGATGGGCCAGACAGCCCAGAACAGCACTGTGCCAACACCCCAGGGCTGTGACAGCAGGCTGTCACCCACCAGAGGCCACCAGGAGCAACAAGCCTCCTCCAAGGCCAGCATATGGCACTGCAATGGGCCAAGGTGGCACAGCCACAGTGGAGCAGCAGCAGTGCTTGGTGTGCAGCTGAACCCAAACCCTCCCCTGTGTTTTGGGGAGCTGTGCTCACCAAAAATGCATCAGCAGAAATAACTGAGAGGGGCACATTAAACCTGTAAAATCCTGTGTTGTTCTGGTTTTACAAGCTTTGGCAGCTCAAGTCTTCAAGCACACTCTGCAAATGCTGCTCCTTCCCCGGTGAGCCGGCCCTCCTGCTCCCACCTGCACGTCCAGCAGCTCCCCGACCTCCAGCCCTGCTCCAGGGGATGCTGCAGGAGTGCTGGTACAAGAGGGACCCCAGAGCCACACAGGAATGCTCCAGACCATTTCCATCWCTGCCCTGATGCAGCACAGCCCTCACCCACCCCAAGGGTGAGCCCAGGGACACGCCAGCTCCGGGCTCGGAGCACCCTCTCCAGGAGCAGCGGGCTCACCGGGGCCGCGGGGACGGTGGGACGGTGGGATGCACGGCGCTCTGCCAAACAAATCAAAGCCCAGCCCCAAAACTCCCTCCGGGAGATGATGCGAAGGGCAGCAAGCGACCTCTGCTGAGGAGGGACCGGAGCAGCACGCGGCGGGGACAGGCCAGGGGACACCCGGGAACAAAAGGCGCTCGTTCCGAGGCACCAGGACAGGGCACAGGCACATTTCCCACGGCTCCGCAAGGCTCCGAGCCCGAGCGGCCGTGCTGCGGTGCTCTGGGACATTCTGCCGCAGAGCCGGGCACAGACCCCGGCGGGCAGCGAGCCGCGCTGCCTCCTCCCGGCTCYCTCCTCCCTAAAGCTGTCCCCAAATGGATGGTCCCGTTTGTCCCGGGACCCGAACAGGATGTCGCTGTCCCCGTCTATAGCGTGATCACGGTCAATTCCGCTGGCAGGCTGAGCAGCTGCTGCTCTGTCAGCGGCGGTGCCCCGTGCCAAGTGTGTCCCCAGCACCGGGGCCCGTCCCCTCGCTGTGACACGCTGCTCGTGCTCTTTCAAAGGAACCTTTATCTGCCCGTTCCCCTTTGGACTTCTCTCTTTCTGACGCCAGTCACCCTCGCACGATCCCAGGCGGTTCTCCCAGACCGTGCCCAGCACTAAAAAAGGTGTAAGTGGGAGATGCTGCAGTTACCAGCATCTCCAGACACGCCGCAGCCACGTCTACACCAAAAAAAAAAAACCCCAAACAAACAAAGCCCACACATCACAACAACTCTAAAGCGCTAAAATCCAGTCCTTGAGAGTATATAAACACACAGAAAATTTGTCAAAGAGAGAAGTTGCAGCCCCTGGGAAGGGGTCTGGGCTCTGCGTGTAAYTCCACACACAGACAGAGCCTCCAAAGGGAACTGCACACTCATCCAAATCCCGGCTGTAGGAAAGGGGCGGGAAGGGGATGACCCCGGGGGTGGAGGGGGGCTGCCCCCAAATCCCCTCGCCCCGTTCCCCCTGTTTCCCCCGTCTCCCAGCCCAGCCGAGCAGAGGGATCCTGTACACAACTTTTTCAAACTGCCAGGCAGAAGAATCCCAGCCTTTCCAAGGGAGTGTCGGTAAATCATCAGTACATCCGACAACGCAGCCAGCGGGATTAACCCTTTGCGGGGCCCCGGGAAAATAACAACAACAACAACAACAACGCATTTAACAATGAAAATAGTAAAAGCTGGTCCCAGCTGYGGGAGAAAGGGGACGGGCAGGGCGTGTGCCGGGATTTTTTCATGCACACACGGATGGATAGGAAGCAGCATTTTGTGTGTGCCGAGCACATGAAGAGCTGCCACCGCGCACCTCCGCCGTGCCTCAGCCCTCCGGGCTCTCCCACCGCCCGCAGCACCGCGGCCAGACCCAGGTACCCGTGTCCCCGAGGGACAGGGCGAGGAGCAGCAGCCCCCTGCTCCCAGGAGGGGCTGGGACCCCCCCGTGCCCGGGCAGGGTGAGGGGTGCGAGGGGCAGGGGATCGCCCGTTCCTGCAGCTGCCTGGGGGCTGCACCGGCTCCCACCTCGCGGAGCAGCTCCCGGGGCTGGGAGCCCCTTTTCCCGGTGCTTGGGAATTGGGGGGGCTGGGGGGAGGCTCCTTCTGGCCGTGCCGGCGCCGATCCCCCGCTCTCACCCTTTCCCGCACACCCCAGCCCTGTTCCCAACTCTCCCGCTCCGCAGCGTGGCCTCCCTGCTCCCAGCCCATTCTCCTCTCCAGAGCAGGAGTTTTCACATCATCCCCTGGCAGAGGAATGTCTTCCCCCACCCCGTTCCCAGATCGCGGGATCCCGCGGCTCCCCGGCACCCCCAGCCCGCCCGGGATGCCGTTCCCCAGCGCCGGGAGAAGCGGAGTTTGTACTCACCCCCTGCCTGCCGCTGTAGCTCTGAGTCTGGAGACCGGCTCTGATTCCGGCTCCATCACGTTTAGTGCATTGTCTCTTTCGGGCAATTTTTGCGGCAATCCATCAGAAATCGGGGGACAGGCCGGTTTGTGGGTACATCCTTCCCAGGAGCTCGGCTCTCTGCCTCGCTAAGGGGCTCAGCTGTGTCACAGACACCCCTGGCCCGGACGGCTCACTCCTTCCTCCTTCTCTTCTGGGTCCTTTTGCTTACACAGATCTTTTAATCCCATTTAACTCCCTCTCGGCAGACTGCAATTACCTTGGGAAAAAGGAGAGAGAACACAAAGTACACGCTAGGAAGCCAGGCTGGCCCATGGTCGCTGGATTTCTTGCCTTTCTTTTTTTTTTTTTTTTT